GATACCAACCTCCGGAGATAACCATCTTGTTTTTTTCTTTTCTTAACGTCAAAGTTTAAGTGGAAAGAGTGAACTCCGGTGAATATACTGGACTATTTTTACATTCATTGGCTCTAGGTTTTAGGTTTCTACTGCTACTACTACTGCTACTGCTACTGCTACTGCTACTGCTACTGCTACTCTGCAACTGATACTGCTCCTGCTATACTGCTACTGCTACTGCTCCTGCTATTGCTACTGCCACTTACGGAACATGGTCATAAATTGTCTCAAGTGTAGGTTTTCTCCGCCCCACGTAGATCGTTTTTTCGTTAGTGCAGGTTTAGAAGAATCCTTATAATTGAACTCCGCTTCTGTTCCAAAGGAATCTAATATTCGTAGTCTACACCTGAAACAACACAAGTATTCCCGGTTTTGCATAAATGTTCTATGTAATCAGATGCACACACTCACACAATAAACCTCCTTTGGATATATAAATATGGGGTGTGATAATGAGCGCATTGCTGTATTGCATAATTGTGAAGATGGCATTTGTCTCATACACACTACGTCTAGCTCCTTTTGATGCACGAAAAATAAAGGATTTAATAGCAAGTCCTTTGTGTATTGCATCACTGTGAGGATGGCATGTATCTGATACACGCTAAGCCGAAAAATAGAGGAGCAAATGACAAGTTTAATTTGCTATAGCACATATTCTTTAGTCTCGTTGACAGCTAATAGTTATCAGTGTTTGACCACCATTTGGAACAGATAATGAGTTTCAAATTTGTTATTAGCAATTTCTAAATCAAGCAACTATGAGAAAGGCTCCCATTGCTCCCATCTCCCCCCCCTCCTTTGGTCGATCGAATAAGTCATTTAAAAGATAGGATACATTGTTGAGTTCCAGGTATTTAGAAGCCATTCACAATGAATGCAGTACAGCAAATGTTAGCAATACATACCTGTACTGTGAAAAATTAGGACCGAGTTCATGTTTGAAGAATGTGATTCCAACATAATCTGTAAATATCAAGTCATACTCGTCTATGCGGGATTTACTGGCACAGGTTTTGGACTTTGGTATGTTAAGGTGGCTGAAAAATATACACATTAAAAAACATAAAAATACAAAGAAAAGAGCTTTATATGAACGATTTATCTTCAAATTTGGTAAACTGATCCAAATCTTCTGCAATTTCATTGTGGTTTTCTTAAAGTCTTATTTCATATAATTGAAGATGTCGGGGCCAAAAGGGGTAGATGATAGGGAATAGGTCACTCCAAACCAAAAGCAAGTATGGACAAATAGCGACAACCTTAGAGGTCTAAGATGACTTTAGAGTAATTCAGCTGTACTTAAATAGTTCTCGAATCTTAAGCTTTTCCTTTTGGCTTACAAAGCTTTCCGCGCATGTTGTAAATGGACGTGATCGGGTAAAGAGCAAGGAAATCAGCGTGGTCAAATAGCTGGAAAACTTCATAGTATGGAGTGGCGTGACATGCCGCTACTGTGACGACGCTGTGTGATATCACTGCACTATGACATGCCGTGACAAAGATGTCTGATGTCAGCACTCTGTGACAGGACGTACCTGTCACAATTAAATATGATTTCATTATGCAGTGACTGGTTCAAATATTCAGTCAAGTCCGTGACCGTGCAATGCCGTTTCACCCTTACACGAAATCTACTCGGCCTGGCACGTGATCAGGTCATGTTGAATTTTAGAACAATGCCAAAAATGACGCAGGTACGTAAAGGGCGTGCATACTTTTTAACTTCTTCTCTCCTGGTGCAAAGTACAATATTGTGACCCAATATGAATAATGCTGTGATAAGATCACTCCACTGTACCAGCTCCCCCAATGGAGCGCCTGTGAATGCTTGCTTGAACCAACTCGGGTTGTTAGCAAATGAACCCATGTATAAAAATATCTGTGAAAAGTAAATATAGAATTAAGCAAGTTAGAAAGAAAGAATATACAGATAAAGATGTTGTACAGGATGGTTACGGTCTACAAGTGTAGCCAATCCCTTGATCCTTCTTGGCGAAGATCATGTTGAAGACATCATACGACGTCAATAGTATTTATGCCCTATCAGTGATATTTTCACCCACCTCCGTCCTCATATTACAGTAATATAGTGATGTTGTACCATTTTTATTTCACCACTGATGTTATACAGGGTGGCTACGATTCCTAGATCACTCTTGGTCAACATTTGATAGTCACATAACATTACATCAAAATATTTGTCCACCTTCCCCACCCCCTCCTTCCCCTGAATTCAGGCTATAGTTATTGAGTATTCATTTGCTTTATTTATTACTCTTTTTGGCCAGTGATGTTGTACAGGGTGATTACGATCCATAAGACTCTCCAGTCCTTTGATCCATCCTGGCCATAATCGTCTGATTCTTTGCCTCATCCATCGCCAATGATCTGGCTTCATCATCGCCATTAGGTCATAATCATTTCTCTTTAAATAAGCCTGAATCGAAAGTGCAAAAAAAACAAAAAAACAAAAAAAAAAACCATCATTATCAATTTAGATGTCTTTTCTTTTTAGGTGCAGATTTACCAAGGACTGAATAAAAAGGGCGTAGCGATAGTTCGCTTGTCTCCCCCCACATTATCTAGGCCGGTCTTAAATTCAAATCCTGGATTTGCTATTCGAGGGGATTTCCCATAAATAAATTTCCCTTGAGTTGTAAATAACAATGAAAAAGCCACCATATTGACGTCAACCGTCAACYAACATGGCGGCTGTAACGTAACATACACCCCAACAAAATAACCATCTACATAAAACTTATACAGTCAATTCAAAAAATGTTGTCGTCGACCAACTCAAACCTACGCGACTGGACCGAAAGGAATTCTGGGTAGTAATCATTGAAGCCGAGTGGACTCCATAATTTTATCTGACTAGTTATGCAGCTAGTTTACAGCACGAACCTAGGCCAGCCGGAAGTGTTGAAGGAGACGTTTTTTAATGCCTTTATATTTTCGGAATTGTGAACTGAATCATTACTGCTTTGTTTTTCTTTCCCTAAACCCAAAGACATGCATTTAATGGATTGTTTCTCGCCATTTTTATCTTAGTACTAGCGGGAACAATTAATTCAGAACGAATATTTAACCGCTTCAGTGATTTTTACCCATATTCCTTTCGGTCCAGTCGAGTAGGCTTGAGCCGGTCCACGACAACGTTTTTTGAATTGCCTGTATAATAACAGTGAACTCGTAAGGTAACCTCTCGTGGAAACCATTTTCTAACGAACTTGTCAATAAATGTGCAGTTTGCATAAGATAGCATAGATTATTCATAGCATAAGTGCGTCGCGATTAATGCGTCACTAGTACTAACCTCTTTCCTAGGTCTATCAGTAATGGGTTCCCGCATTCTTTTGCGATACTCCAGAAGAGGGCACCATGACTCGACCTTTAAGAACACAATACTGTTAATAACTGGATCACGATAAAAATACTGAAATGCTATAAATGTTGATTAGCTATTCCGAGCGTCGAGGAAACAAAGCTGGGTCCAGTTGGCATTGCATCGCATTGACGGACTGTTTTAGCAGGGCACGAAATTAACATTTACACCCACTGGCAAAACCCTGCAAGTAAGTTTAGTTCTCATTAGCAAAAATTCCCAAGTCACTAGCGATCAAACGTGGTGAATAACAAACGTTACTTGATGTGGGTTCTAAACTTTTCAGTCCTTCAATTTCTGGACTGTGGTCATACTCGCAAAACCTAGCTAGTTCAATTTTATGTCTTTCGCTGAATACATAATTTTAACCCGAATTTTGCGAGTTTGCGAGCGTTAATTTCGTGCCTTGTTTAGGGGACATTTCTAAGATGGGGTCTATTTTTTTTAGTCTAGTTCAGTTTTTTTCCTCAAACTCGGAACGAATGATAGGGGATGAAAGTTGGCATTAATTCAACTGATAAGCTCGTCGTCCTCTTTTAACGTCTCTAGTTGATTAGGGACGGGACCGCCATTAACGTGGTCATCCTAGCCACGTGAAGGTTTAACCATTTGCAGATGTAATTAAAAAGGCAGCACCTTCTCCTTATTTATCCTGAGACCCTAAGTGTTGTTCCAACCGAGGCTTGAGTCACGACCTCCCACACAACAGACCGAGGCCCAAGCAACTGAGTCATCCCTGAGACGGTAACCATTGCCATTGAGAACGTTCAAAGACAAAAAGTACCTCACTCAAATATATCACACGTGGGTACCTCACTCAAATGTATCACGCGTGCCTCACTTAAATATATCACACGTGTGTACCCCACTCAAATATTTCACACTTACCTCACTCAAATATATCACGCGTACCTTCCTCAAATATATCACACGTACCTCACTCAAATATATCACACGTACCTCACTCAAATATATCACGCGTACCTCACTCAAATAAATCACTCGTACCTCACTCAAATATATCACACGTGGGTACCTCACTCAAATATTTCACACTTACCTCACTCAAATATATCACGCGTACCTTCCTCAAATATATCACGCGTACCTTCCTCAAATATATCACACGTACCTCACTCAAATATATCACACGTACCTCACTCAAATATATCAGTATTGAGCATGTGTCATCAGGGTCTACTGCATGCTCTTGGACGTAACATCGATAGTGACTGTCCCAGTATTCTCTTATCCACTGTTATCATTAAAAATACAGTCGGTCAGTTAGACGCTTTGCATCATCACGTGGTGGCCGCCATGACAGTTGGCAGCAACAATTGAATCCGGTTTAATTTACGTAAAAAAAGTTAGTTTCCCCAGCGGAATGAGACTGTTGTTGAGCTTCCTGTCATGTCTGCCATCACGTGATGGTGCAAAGCCTTTACAACAATATTCGCGGTTTTCAAAAATTAGCGCCAGGGTAAATATGTACTTTTGATTTCTCATGTATATTGTGAGCTGAAACTTTGTCTTCGTATTCAGTGACGGATCCAGGTGTGGTTCCGTGAGTTCCATGGAACCCCCTTTTTTGTAAGACCTTGTGAAGCCAATCATGTTCTTTACGCTCAGCAGGAACTTGTGGATAAATTGAATATCCCGTAAAAAGCTTTGTGAAACTGACGTTTTTCCGACGAAGGACCAACGTCCGATTTACGGTGATTCAACTTATCCACAAAGTTACTACTGTTTTATTCAGAAACACCGACGCAGCCCACGCAGGTACTCACAAGTTATCACCACTCAGTTCTTTACGCTCAGTAGAATGAAATTTATTGGAACCCCCTCTTTGTGAAGCCAATTTTAGCAGCTTTTTCGTTGCGGCCATTTTGGAACCCCCCCCCCCCCACTTAAAATTCCTGGATCCGCCGCTTTTATTAGGGAGCTATTATTGAGGGGCTCTTTTCATTAAAATTTGCTACAGCTGCTTGGTTTTGCAGATAGGGTTACGCGATCTGCTGATACAAATAGCACATATAATGAAAGAGAACATGCTTACCTTAACTTTTTCTTCGCAAAATGGAAACAGCCAATCTTGTGGAACATTACATGTGCTATTTATTGAAAATTCTAGAATAGATAGAAATCGAAATGATCTATATAAGAAGAAAAAGAAAAATTCTAAAAACCAACCTTCATTTTCTCTGTACCTTTTCCATTTCTCTGTACCTTCCTTTCACTTTATCTCCCGTTCCCTTCCATTCCCTTCCATTCCCTCGCCTCTCCTTTACTCTCTTCTTCTCAATTCTTTTCGCTTTGTTATGAGATCAAGTATGTAGCCGTAAAAACCGTCCAGGTCGTACAATCTAGCACAAGTAGTCTCGTTAATAATACGGGTATTTCTTTGTTATGAGATCAAGTATGTAGCAGTAAAGACCGTCCAGGTCGTACAATCTAGCCCAAGTAGTCTCGTTAATAATACGGGTATTTCTTTGTTATGAGATCAAGTATGT